TTTTTTTTTTTTTTTTTTTTATATTCAACTTACTGCTAGAAAAAGAGGTCCCTGACCTACAAAATCCAGGAGAAAAGGAGGCCTGATTCCATAGCACACAGTCCATATTATTAGAACGTCTCATATACTTATGAAATATGTAAGACTTCAACACTAATGTTTAGAAAATAAAGATCCACACACAAATGTAAACTTCATTTCTGCAGTTTCTTTTCAGAAACATAATGTGTAAGCTGCTAGGCCACAGGGACTGCTGGACAATGCCAGTCGGGTATTTGTGCACCTCTTTACTCTCTTCCAAAGGTGGCGAAACTGATAAAGCTCTTGAATGTTAATGACTTACTAATTTTATTTTCCCATTTGCATAAGAGCCATTCATTCCATTAGAACAGTCATACAAGTTCAACACGGCACTGTACAGGAAAACTTGGTTCTCTATGTGTGACAGGCATCAAAACCAACCTCTCTCAACAGGTTATGCACAAGGGTCTTTGGGCAAGTTATAGCTTATGACTATCATTTGGCAATGGTAACAGAAATGACTGTGTGACACTAATAGAAAAATGACCCCAACACTTTAGTACTGTGATTCCAGCTTCTTTCCCCCCACAATATATTCTAGGCTTGACAACCTGAGTCAACTTCCAAGTCCTGCACATTTCTATATTTTGTGTATGGACATGAAAATGATAAAAATTTCTACTTCAGTTTTTGCTAATCCTAAAACATGGTCCAATATTCTATTAGTCTTAACCACTAAAACAGACCTACAATTGCAAGCATACCGGCATGTGACGTTTTTTTTCTTGAGTGTCTCGTTATGTAGTTCAGGCTGGCCTTGAACTTCTGTTGATCTTCCTGCCTCAGCCTCCTGAATACTGGGATTACAGGTATGTGCCACTATACCTGGCTACCAGTGTATATGACTTTTTTTTTTTTTTTTGGTTTTTTTGAGACAGGGTCTCACTATGTAGTTGAGACTCACTATGTAGACCCCAGGCTGGTCTTGAACTCACAGTGATCCTCCTGCCTCAGCCTCCTGAGTGCTGGGATTACAGGCGTGAGCCACGACTCCTGGCAGGATATATGACTCTTAACATGAAGACTGCCAGTATTTTAGTACTTACTTAAAATACCTTCTTCTAAATGCTTACAATATGTTTAGTGAAGAATAATCTTGCTCGAGTGACGTTGGACAATGTGCCTCAGTATTCTAGTTTATAAAACAGGAATAGTGATAATACTGGCCACTTGTCAAGATCAAATGGAACACGCTGAGTTCAGGGCTTGCTCAGTCAACTGCTGAAATTATTATTCCACACTTCTATTTAGAAAGTGACAAACATCCTGAAAACATTTGATTTTGCAGAACATACACATTTTCCATTTCTTAGAATTATGAATTCCTCCTGCTCCCCCAATAGCTATCCTAGTTTAAAGTCAAGGTTGGGAGTTGGGAAAAAATGTCACACACATGGACCATCCATGTACACACACATACATGCGGAAACACGTCAGGTCTGATGGTGATACACCAATTATCAGCTAAAAGCCAGACACCGTGAAATGGATAAAAGAGCTAATAACTCAGTCCCTTCAGACTCTTGTTAAGAAAATTCCAGACACTGCAAGAGCAAGGACTCAAATTTAATCCCTGGTACCAAAAAAAAAAAAAACAAGAAATTTCCAGACAAACACACACAGGATCACCACATGGACCATATATATTTCAGACTGAAACTCAATGGCACACCAAAATGTTTTTCACAGTACTTAGTGAAGATTACTGAGTATACACCATAAACAGAAGCATCTAAAACATTCCTGCCCTCAATTTTTTAAAGGAACAGTATATAGTTCCAACAGCTGTGCACTTAACATATTCATATCCAGAAAAAGCTTCTAATAGAGATTTCATCACATAAAAGCACTCAAGGCCAACCCAGCTTCACTTTCTCAGCAAGCTGCAGAAAAAGTCTGTTCTGAAGGACTAGGAGGCCAGAGTGGTACTATTGTGCTCATCCATCTATAGACTTAAGGTCCAACCCAAATTTTAATATGTTCAAAAGATTGAAGGGGAGTGTGTTAAAGTTCAGAAGAGTCCTCAAAAAGAAGAGTGACTCTTGCAAGACAATGGGAAAGTCCTCTTCCCGATATCCCAATGAGGACTTGCCTTCCTCAATTATAAAGGGTATAAAGCCACCTCTCCGTTGGGCAGGAGAAAAAATGGGCAACAATTCTTCATAAAACATAAGCCCCAATCTCTAGAAACACATCCAGTTCTTTGCATCATATATCTGAGGATATATAGACTGTTAGCAGTAAGCAGCTTAACTGTAAATATATTTAACACATACCTTCTACAAAGCAATTTTTCATAAAGTCAATTTTATTCCATACATGTTATTTGTATTTAGAATTTGCTTAAAATATTATGTAATTATATAATATTCTATAATAAATATTATTTCCCTTCCTTGCTTTGTAAATAGTGGTAAGAAGAGACTCAAAGTCCTTTTCAGGCTTTTCGGATCAACAAAATTTATAGATTTCCCTACAGAATATTCCCAATAGGCCCAAAGAGCCTTCAGACTGCATACTGTGGACCTTAAAAACCACACATTTGTAGTCCCCCCTCTTCTTTTGCAAAGTGAACATGTACTACTTTAAAAATAAAAGCTAGTTAAAAATTACCAGGTGGCAAAAGCCTTCAGTAGGCATGCAAGCTAATATTAAGAAATCTTTATTATGAAAGCTGTCATTATGCATATACTAGAAGGAAATATAGTTTCCCAGTTCAAATGGGCATTCAAAGTAATGATTCATTTCATCTGGACATATATCACTGAAAAGTTTCCTAGATTTATAACATTTAAAAATTCACACATACTGAAAATCTGAATAACCCATTTAAGAAGTCGGGGACAAAAATCTCTCAAAGGTGTCAAAGCCTAATAGAAATTTTCAATTGTGACAGATGGCTCAAGCTAGTATGTTAACACAAAGGCAGAACTGATAAAGTCTGAGTATGGACCTGAGAGGCAGTCACAAGGGGAGTCTAGTTTGGGTCTCAAAGGAGGGAACAATGTACAAGGTCTTTTGAATAAGGATGGACACTGATGGTCAACAGAGGAGGAGCTATTGAAAAGGCTACAGAGGGTGACACAGTGAAACATGTTACTCAGAGAAGGGCAACAGAATGGCTTTTGGTGACACCTGAGAGGAGGGAATCCCTCAGGTGAGGGTGGTAGGGCTTGTCTGGTGGGCCGCAGCAATTCAGTGGTCTTACATGTCAGGAGTAGGAACCCAGACTTTACCTAAGTGATGGAGGAAACCACAGAGGAATTCTGAGCAGGTAGGATCTCATGTTCTGAAAAATCCTTCTAGTTAGCAAGGTGGAGTAGGACATGGGAGGGCAATCAAGCTCTTATTTCAAAAATCTACCACAGCGATAAGAGGCTTAAGCTGAAAGGTGCTACAGGTGAGAAAAAGCTCTCTTTGAATGAGTGGATGGAGGTGTCAAGCAAGAATAGGAAAAGTAGTAACTTTTGGAGAGAAACGATACATTTCCCATGGTAACACCGACTCAAGACAACCTTGGATCCCCCCATAGGAATATACTTAAAAAGTTAAGTGTGCGCTTTATCGCTCAGAAGAGCCACAGTATCAATATACGTAAAATAAAAAATGGAAGAGCTTGGACCTGGGGAAATACTGTACCCTATTAGGAAGGCACTGAAATTTCTTAATGAGTTAAGGCTTTAGGGCAGATCATAAAAAGCCCCAAATGTTTACACTTTTAACAAGAAACACACTGGAATTTAACTCAAAATAACCAAATCATAAAATTTCCTATGATTACTCAAAAAAATAGCTTGTTTCACAATTTAAAAAGGGGAGGAAGAGGTTGATCTCCCAGATGGAGACCAATGCGGACCCTGAATCTCAGGAAAATCTAAATAGAGAGCACAAAAACTCATAAACGCACAGGTTTGCTTTCTGCCAAGGACCAGTGTATGGAAGAAAGACACGAAACATTTAGTGACAACAAAAAGGTCTGAGGTACTGGAGGGACCAGCTGAATCCATTAGCCAGCCAACTTCATGGCGGTTATGAAAGGCCAGTGGAACCCTGAAGGAAAGCAGGGACCTCCTTCAACGTGAAGAGGTGAGGAGGGGCTAGGAGGAAGGGCACAAAACCACACGGGGTGTGCCCCTCTGCCTCCTCTCAGCCAGAGCCTAGGTTCCCATTCTA